GTATCATTTACCTGATCGGACTATCCTAAGGTGGTGTGGAAACGAGCTTTTCAAAAATTGTTTCCCCGTTCCTTTTACGATTTGTGCTTTATACTGCCGTGCTGAGGAGAAATGCCGTATGAATATTCGAGAGGTGCCAAATGTCCTCCGATTAACGTTTAGTAAAGAAGAAAGTTATGAATATTTTTCCTTGACATTTTCAGGAACTTTAGGTGAAATTGCGAACAAAATTATTTGAAAATTTGGGAGAAAAATATTTAAATATTTTCCCAAAAATTCGTGATATCGCGGAGGAAATTTGGCAACGCCTGAGGGATTATACGGCGTTCTTCCTTAGCACGGCAGTATAGCTTCTGGCTGACGTCAAAACCTGAGAATCCTTTTACTGAACCATACGAAACTGAAATTTTCAGGTGAGAGCAACACGAAGCTGAAGAAGTGTGAATTTTCTTTTTTACACGGAGAGCAGAAATTAAATACCTGGTAACTGCCATCAGGTGCCTATAATGGGGCACCAGCTTCTAATAGACCAAATTTAGAGAAAATTTCCTGATGGAAATCCAATGAAAACGGGACACTTTACGCTGAGGAGCAACATGCATATTTTAGCAATAACCTGATGACGCTCGCCAGGTTTTGAATTTCTACTCGTCATGTATGATAGGCCAAGGTGATGTCATAAGTCTGTGTGGTATACTGCCGTGCAAAAAAAGAACGCCGTATGAACATCCGAGAGTTGCCAAATTTCCTTCGATATAAGGTTTATTTTTGAGGAAAGTTATGAACATTTTTCTTTGAAATTTTCTGGAGCTTTAGGATAAATTGGGAACAAAATTATTTGAAAAATTGGAAGAAAAATATACATACTTCTACTAGGAAATTCGTGTTTTATCAAAGGAAATGTGGCAACGCTTGAAGGTTCATACGGCGTTTCTCTATAGCACGGCAGTGTAGGGTCTACGGTTTGTAACCATTGTGTTACACAGCACCGCACCGTTCCGAGTCTATCACAAGGGGACTTTAACGCAGGAGTAGAAAAGTAGAAAAGTACGATGCCCATTGATGGTAAGCCAAGGTGACGTTTAAATGCTGCAGCACGAAGTTTACTTTCACAGTGGAGGGAAAGTTATTTTTCTTGAATTTCTGCATTATTTCATCTATTAATTATGACTTGACAAAAAAATTAGTCTAGATGCGTGAAATCACAAACTTTTAATTGCTTTAAAATTTTATCCTTTTTAATTGTCGTTTCCTTCTCACATCTCGTCTCTTTCTCAACCTATATACATAATTTTGGTTTTTTATTACTGTGTTTTGTTAATTGTAGTATGTGCGTTTGATGATGGCGTTTGCCAAAATGTATCGGTATGTCAGATTAATATAATACACATTATGTAATTTCATGCATGCGGGCTACATTTTTGGAAAATTCTTGTGAGAAATTGAATGGTTTGAATAATTTTGCAAAGTTGGAATTGTGTTACGTTCCATCGTCCGAAATATGATGAAGAAGAAGTAAGCAGTTGCTGACTTTTATAAACTTATATTTTACGGATTTCATAATGGTTTGGTCATTTCCGATCTATTTTAGGGTCTACCACTGGCCTAAACATGGGTCTGAAGGCCGATTTTAGCGAAAAATGCTGGTTTTTCGGGATTCAACGCGCTGTTTCATACCGATCCCTTCGGAGGATAAAAAATTCCTTCAAGTATGTTCATTAGGGATGTAAGAGAGTCACTTTGGCCAATTTTCGTTGACGTCAAACTTTGCGCGCATAGTTATAAAAAACTTTTTAGAATTTTCCTGTTTTTCATCATTATTTAAAATGGCTTAAAAAAGCGACTCATCTTACGCCAGAGTTTAACTTTTTTGGCAATAAATGGACGTGGGTGGTCAAAACCTTCCTCAAAAAACTATTTTCGATTCAAAGCCCCCCCTAAAAGCCGGTGTTGCCATATTTCATTGCCTGAATTCACGGAAAACCTAGTATTTTAGAATTCGGAGGCTGCTCCTCGTCAAGAACATTCCGAGAGTTCAGAAACCTTTATTTTTCACACGCAGTGGCCACATTAGTAGGAATTTTATGCATGTCTTATCTATTTATGTATTTATCTCCCGCTGTGGCGCATCACTTTTTTCTTCATCATTCCAAGAAATCGTAAGAGAATGGGTCGTCTGTAGGTGCATGGTCTTAGAAAAATTAATACCGGCACATATGATCCACTTGTACCTCTCTTATATATTTATTTCATAGGCATGATCCAAATTTATGCGTAACATCTACCTAAGAGGGGCTTCAACGATAGTTAGATTTTACCATTCGTTTTGTTCACTTACGGTCTCAAAAGCACCGTATTCGCCTATTTTTGCGATAAACCAATCGCTTTTCCACAAGTTCCGCAGCAAAGAAATACCTACACTTTCCCGTGGTTAGGTACTCCACATTTAGCTGCACAGTCGCAGATCACTATAATCTCTAAAAGTTTCTTTCATTTTGTCGGATATGCAATACCACCATCTTGTTTTTTTACTACCTACCTACCTACCTCCTGGTTTGGACTACCGCTCTCTGTTTGTGCCGTAGTAACTTGATTTACTTTTCGAGGAAAGCTCCGTACTCTTAAAGGATGCCTGTCATTCTTAATATGTTGAAGCGCCTTCAATTTCGTCTGACACTGTGCAACACCTCTGTTGTGAAATAGTTGCTTGAAGTGCTGGGGTACGCAGCGTCACTGCGGCAAGCGGGCGGGCGGCCAGCACGGAACGCGCATTGGCGCCTACAAACCTAAGTGGATACTTCAAGCATTGTGCAATGCGTGAAGTATCCCAGTTAGGTTTGTAGGCGCCAATGGCGTGTCGCGCTGGCAGCACGCCGCCGTGTGCCGCTCCGCTCTGTGTTTGGCTCTAATATTTAAACTCGCGGGGTCAGCGTTTTCCAACTTATGATTTTGAAATGTTTGCTTACTCTGCATAGATTATTCTCATTTAAATTGATGAATGAAAAAGAAATATGTAATAAAGGAAACTATCATGTGTGTTTTGTAAATTTTGGGCAAATTTTGGAATGGGGAATATTGAAATTTGTTTCGTGAGGAACAAAAAAATGGAGACAGTGAGGGGGCGAAACGAAAAAATGAGCGGAAAAAGGATGGAAGAAGGGAATTGATAGGATCGACACCTTAGAAGGACCTCGAGATTTAGGGCAGCTCAGCCCTTGCTTGGACTCGTTGATTATTCCTTGCCTTTACATTGGAGGGTTAAAAGGTTCTTTTGAAAATGAGGAAAAATCTGTAGAGAAAAAGCTGCAAAGTCTTACAACAGTAGCAGAGGCAGAAGTGACCGCTACCGCGACAACTGTTCTCAGCCCTCAACGTCAACGACCGAAACGCGTTATCAAGAGACCCAAGTTTTTTGATGTAAGGAACATCGGCACTGTTACCTACAGGGATACATTGCGCAATGCGAGAAGTATCCCTGTAGGTTTTTAGGCACCAGTGCGCGTTTTGCACTGGCAGCACGCTGCTCCGCTCTGTGTTAGGCTCTAATATTTAAACTCGTGAAATGTTTGCAATTACAATTTTTCATGTAATTCTTTTTGATTCACATCCGTCCAATTTTGATTAAAGGAAGAATTTCAACTCCACTGGACATCTGGCCAGGGTATATGGGTTCACTTTGAGCCTATAGATTCGACCGAATGACCCAAATCAAAAAGGTTTCATGTCGGATGAAAACTCGAAGTCTCAACTAAAGTCCATGCATTATTAAATGAATAACGTCTAAACGGACTACACAGAAAGGCTGAGACACGTCCTCAGTCAATGGAGTCACGCCACCACCGTTGCGTTAGCGTGTTCTCGATCTGGTCTTCAAAGGTAAAGGACAGGGTTATATTTAGCACACGATGTAATGGTTCTTCTGCGTCATAAAGTAAAGGCTTACTAACCTGGCCGTTTTACCCATTCCGAAAGGCGAAGCTAAATTGGACGTAAAATCCAGTTAATATAAAAAAGGGAATCCGTGGAATCCAGCTAAAATAAAAAAGGAATTTCCACATACACTATCATTAAATCTAATACTAGAATTTATATATTCATATCCTTGAATTACTAAAAAATATATTCCTAATAAGATAGATATTATTAATCTAATTCTTGAATTTTTGAATTTATTTATAGTTAAATCATAATGAGCTCAGGTGATGAAAAAGCCTGATATTAGTAAAATCATAGTATTTAACAAAGGAATATCTATAAATCTTATTTGAGTAACTTTGAAAGGGGGTCAGATTGATCCCGTTTCTATATCCGGTCTTAATCTATAATAAAAATATATTCAAAAAAAATGATCCAAATAGGCAGATCTCTGAAATAATAAAAAAAATTATGCCGGATCCAATACCTAATGTAGTTAATTTTTAAAGACCGGGATCCCTCATGTAATGATTCTCGTATAACATCTCGCCAAACAGACCTATGTGGAGGTGAGAAATGTGGGGTGTGCTCGTTGAAGCTGCATAAGAAGCAATATAAAAGTGGGCGTGATTCCTTTTGAAGAATTGGAAAAGCGGGATATTACATTCTATCAAACAGACCTATGCGCCAACTGAATGCGGCAGTCATGAGCCGCGGGCATGGCAAGAGAGCGTTGTGGACAGGGCTCATGAGTTAAAGCGTCCCAACGACGATCTTTTCTTCGTGCCCCGGCTCGCAACGGCTCCATAATTGCCGCTGACGTCACTGGCGCTTTATTATTCTCATTCACTCTTACGGCCAGAGAACTAACGAGCACACCCCATACTTCTCACTTGAACATAGGTCTGTTTGATAGAAACACGTCCAATTGTAGGGGCGATTAGGCAGATTTAAGCGACGAGGATTTCGAGGAATATTTTGACGGTGAATTTAGAGAGAAATGTATCTTAGCTGCAGTCTTCCTTTTGTATTTAGTCAATTATTGGAAAATATCATTGACGTGGTGTTTTGAAAGCCCCCCCCCCTCCGATTATAATTCTTTGGTTGAAAAATATTCTACGAAATGTCAAGTAAAAAAACCGGTTTAAATTGTTCTCCTTTAAAAAAAATTCAATAGAAGTGGTATTTTGGATTGCCGCGAGTGAGATGCGTGTTTTCCGAGTTCATTCATATGCTTCAACGATAAATGATACTCGCTCAAAAAGAATTTCAAAGATTTAACATTAAAGTTTGAAAATATTGTTATTTATCTAACGCAAGATAAGGATTAGAGACAAGCAAGCGTAAAAAGAAGAGAAATAAGAATATAATAAACGAAGAGGAAGAAGAAGAAGAAAGGAAGAAGAGAAGGAGGGAGCAAAGGAAGAATACAGAGAAGAGGGCTCTACCAAAGAATGTCTTTTTGTGTTCCACCTCAAAAAAATTGTGTTCCAGTGGGCCAACCGTGGAAATATGTTTTCGACGACTAGACAAGGCAAGACAAGACCAGACCAAGGAAATGAAGGAAAACTGTGAAGAGAATGGAAGTCACCATGATGTTATCAAATCTATTCCACATGAGAAGGAACTATGTGATTGGTCGACTTTGTCAGCTGTTCAATCGTCTCTGTATCCAATAGAATCGACGATAACCTACAGCGGGTCGATTGTTGAATCGATTTCGAATAACTTTGATCTATTAAAGGGATTGCAAAGATAGGGATCTATCGATCAGGATCCTTCGATAACGATTCAACAATCGACCCGCAGCGGGCTGATTATTGAAATTGATAGACCAAGCGATAGACAAAGGAGACAAACTGAAAATAAAGCTATCTTATTCATTGAAGCGGTTGATTGCAATAGACAAATGAGGTAAGTGATAGACTGACTAACGGCAACCCAAGAGAGACCTGGTAGTTAGTCCATCATTTACCCCCTTAGTCTAAAATAACCACCCGTTTCCACCAATACGATCGCTCCATGTCCCCTATGTCTTCTTTGTCTATAGCCTTGTCGACCAATTTCAATAATCAGCCTGTAGGAGGATCGGCGGGTCGATTATTGCATCACTATCGAATGACCTTGATCGATAAATAGTATTGCTAAGATAGGAATTTATCGATGAAGTTCATTCGATAACGATTCAACAATCGACCCAGAACCCCTCGAGTTGTCGATAGTTTATAGTCAATTGCAACCCAAACGGACACGAGAAAAAAGACGATTGATAAAACCGACCATCTTACTCCATTCTACCTTTGTCTCGCCTTGTCCAGTCGACAGACATGAAATTTCAATAATTGAACCCCTAGCGTCCTCAGCCATTTTCATGAGTAACACATGCGACCCGACAGAATTTCCATGCTAACGCCTGAATGCAACTATTCGTGATTAGTGCATGTCCGTATTGCATACACCAAAAAATGAGGGCACTTTGGCTTCTTGTGTGGTTCTCATAACTGTGCCACTCTTGGCGATACAATGCGGTGCGACTATTCGCGCTCAAAGCGCTCAGACTTATCTTCTGCTCTAAACGTTTTATTATATAGGGACAACATACTACTTTTCGACTGTCGACCAAGTTTACAACCGCCTCTTTGTTGAATGGCTTCTTTTGACAAATATCTATGTTGCAATGCTGTATGTGTATGAAAATCATTCGACCCGGTGTCGATGGAAGTGCGATGATTGGCCCGCAGATTGGATACTTTAGACTAACCTGCAGACGTTGTCGATGTCGGCCATGTTGTCCGGGTAGATGAGCCGCGACTCTTGCAGTAGGGGGTCAGCCATTGTGACGCACTTCCTATATTCGTCCTTGCTGCACTGACCCCGGCCGCTCCGCACACCTACATGGAACAAAATCCGTGAAAAATTAGTTTACAGCCCCACTATTTGCAATAGTCATGTGATTCCGCAGCAGTTTTGACTGAAACATGCATGATCACAGTGTGCACTAACATTTTGGTTGAAGTCTTCTCGCAGGAATGGGTCAGTTGCGCTGGTCACAGAATCGTGTTTTGATGCATGATTCTTGTAGATCAGCTAAAAATAATAAGATACAGCAGCGTTCTACGTTTAATATTAACCGGGATATACCGGAATTCTATTAATGACATCATCCACCGCTGTAGTGACGTTCTTGGATTCTCCTACCTTGTTTTTGCGGGTGGGGGGGGGGGGNGGGGGGGGGGGTGTTGGGGTGTCGGTGGTTCCAAAGCTCCTCGATGACGCTATCCGGTGAGTTTTTCAGAGAATGAATATCCTCGTCGATATTTGATTCAGAACCCTAACCCTGAAATGGACCAGGGACCTAATTGGACGTATTTTTATCAAAGAGAACTATGTGCAGAGGGAAAGATGGGGTGTGCTCGTTCGTGCTCGGGTCTTAAGAATGAATGAGAAGTATAAATCGCCAGTGACGTCAGCGGAACGACGATCGGGGCAGTCTTTAACTCATGAGCCCTGTCCACAAGGCTCTAGATACATGCCCACGGCTCATACACGCTGCACATAGTTCCGTTTGACAGAACGTGAAATCTTGCTTCTCTAATTCCGCAAACGGAACTGTAAGCCAACTGAGTGCGGCACCCATGAGCCAGTGAGCCTTCCCGATCGTCGTTTCCGCTAACGTCACTGGCGCTTTGTATTTTCCATTAATTCTTAAGGCCCGAGCACGAACGAGCACACCCAATCTTTCCCTCTGCACATAGTTCTCTTTGATGGAAGTATATATGTCCAATTATACTCTCCTGAACTATACAATTTTCCCATTAGGAAACGATTCCTAGATCCATTGCAGCGCATTGGACGTGGAGCCATGACCGCCCTTAATCGTATGAATGTGACACCTGTTCGCCGGCGTAGAGCTAGAAGTGTGGCCGTCCCGTCTCGTTCCGTCAAAGGCCTCACCCCGCCGCCGCCCCCGCCGCCGCCCCCGCCGCCGCCGCCGTGAGAAGTGGACGCGGATTGTGGACGAAAGTGAAAATCGATAACCGCATGTCAGTCACCTTCATTTTTCCACTTTTCATTTTTATCGACTCGCGCCCCGCCCCCGCCCACCGAGCTCCGGCCGCTCCTAGACCAACGGTATTGTTCAGTCTGACCTTTGTTGCCGTCAACATAGCTCAATCACTGGATTCTCTCTCACCAGTACTGCCGTGCTAAGGAAAAACGCCGTATGAACCTTAAGGCGTTACCAAATTGTGTTTGATAAAACATGAATTCCCTGGTAAAATTATGAATATTTTTCTTTAAATTTTTCAGAGAATTTAGTTCGTATTTTGATCTAAAGTTCCGGAAAATTTCAAGAAAAAATATTCATAATTTTCCTCAAAAATAAACATTTTATCAAAGGAAACTTGGCAACTCTCGAATTTTCATACGGCGTTTTTCCTTAGCACGGCAGAGTAGTTAACCAACTTCAGCCGAAAAAAAAAGAAAAAAACTATTTACGTTAGTTCCGACTTTATTTCCCTAATTAAGTCTCCAGAGAGCTGATCGTTGAAACTGATCGACAAAGCTGTAGACAAAGTATACAAAGAGGTTATGGAGGGATCCTATAGGTAAATCCGTGGATCTTCCACACAGAGTGCTTCACACATGCAGTGTAATGATTTACCCTTAAATCTGAAACTCTGTTTGAAAGACAAAAAATATTCATCCTCTCCTTCCAAAATGATGACATAGATTCATCGAGAATGATAAAAGAGGAAGTAGTCGAACCCGCTCATAAATTGGTAAGCAACGTGAGCAAGTTTGGCATCCATGCACACCGTTTTACGATTCCTACCGACTTATTATAGTCTGGTTGTTGGGGTACTAGATTTTTAGGGTTGTTCAGTCGCACGAGCGGAAATGAACAATGACGTCACTTATTCAGCACTTGAGGCGCCCCGTAAGAGCGCAACCTCAATTTTACGGTCGTATTGACATTATGTTATGTACGGCATAAAGAAAAATAAGGTTTTTCCATTTGAAAAAGATTTACAGACTAAATTCATGAAAAACCTTTTTAATACTATAGCGTTCACAGTCAAGACGTGTGGAAAAGTATTTAGAACTATAACTATATTTATAACTTAGAAGCATTTAGCGAAAAGAAAACCGATAAAATTGACTTGGAGGGAAGATAAATTAATAGACAAAAGGGTCTTAGTCGACAAAAACTCAAAATTAAGTCACTGATAAGCATGGAGGAGTGCTGTCCTGCTGATGTATGAACATTTTAGGATAAAAAATATCCACAAATTCTAGACCAAACCGGTAATTAGACGTTGTTTTTTAATTTGCAGTCAAAGTATTGTATTTTTGCTCGAGAAAAAAACCTGGTGCCTGCGACCCGAAGTTCGAGTCATACGGTAGCTTGGGAGACGGGATTCAGACTTTGAAAATTGCAGTTAGAGCAAACTAATTTTGACACCACCTGACCCTGTGCGGTGCGATACAATCTAAAAAAAGAAAATAAGTAACGTGAGACTTATAATTTTTACGAGTGTTGGATTCTGTCGCACCAAGCTCTGAATGATCCATAGGTTGATTTACATTTCTGACTAGACTTTTTTCTAACTCTTCAGCGACAAAAATACAAATATATGTATGTTGAAATGCGCGCTCGTATTTTTCCTGATATGACCATGAAACAATTTTGCCGCATTTGTCGTTCTTAGATCAGAGAGGGTAGGGACCGCAGCTCACATATTAGGACAGCAACGGTGTTCTATATTTAAAAATCAAGCTCGGAAAATTAACAATGTCGCGATAAAAATCAGTGATAGTTCACTTCACTGGCAAAGTAGACAACGCTTAAATGTCACGGTGCAAGACAACCCAGCAGAGCGCCTTCAGTTAAATCAGTTATTTTCAAATATTTGCATGAGTCTTGGCTTGCAGAGATGGACATGCTGGCTATGACTCATAGAAGAATGGACCTGTTGTCTTTTGGAAACGACTGATTCAGTTGGCGTCGAATGCGACGCACACTGTACTTACATACATATCTCATTTCAACTCCTGGATGCAGCTATTCGAGCTCCATGGATGTCCGTGTTGCATACACACGGGAGTGAAGGCGTTTTGACCGTTCAAGAACTCCGGAATACACACAGAGGATTTAAGGAGGCTACGCACATTGATATTTTCCCTTTTATTTTTAAGGAAGGCCAAATGACGCCTCGATGTCCAAATAGACCTATTCGAAGACTTGCGTCTCGACAAATGTGGTTGTCTTTTCCACAAATGTTGCCTCATAGTACGGTGGCTTAGCGCCAAAAAAGGGCCAAATGCTGCAAATCGTGATTCAGTTTTGCCACTTTGGGAGATCAAACTAGATGATATTTTAAGCGTTTTGAGTCGAAGAGGCATTTCCAAAATGGTGGCAGAGCCAAGATGGCGGCCATTCAAAATGGCGGCCGGCGCGTACTTTGAGCCGCTCTAGATCGAGATCCACTGAACCGATTTAATTTTTCTTTTTTTTTGTTTGATAGATAATTGAAAAGTTAATAAAACAAAATCACAAAATTTTTGATTTTGACAATATACAGGGTGTTTTTCTCATAAAAACCGGGTTTCGCGTGTGGAAAAAAATCTTCTAATTTGCATAACTTTCAAAATCGTATTTTTAAGGTCACTTTAAATACTCACCATGTAAAAGAGCGTCTTTTAAGCTTTCCAACGATATATTACATGATGGGTCTATGATTTAAAGTTTCCGCGCCACTGCGATCCACGCGGCGGCGGCACAGCGCGGGCCTGTATAAATTAGTCCACGGGCCTATGTTGAAAAGAAGCCTCCCGTGGAAAAGTAAATGTAGTAAGTATGGAAAATGGCCTGACCTCTTCTTCTCGATGTGTAGAAAAATAATTTTGATGTTGTCAAGCTCAATTTTGCGTTCAACCCCTCCAATTCAACATGGCGGCCAAAATGGGGGCTCGGGGGTTGAAAATGTTGGAATTTGTTTTTGATGTCGTGTATGGGGTCTATCGCTATGTAATTTTGGTCGTAGAATCCGAATTTGAGGTCCAAAATTGTCTCCGGCTCAAAGGGATGCCCAAAATCCAATATGGCCGCCAAATTTTCCACGATAGGGTCAAATCTCCGAGAGTTGCGTAAAAGTGCCGAGTAGGGTATCTTTCCTAGGGTTTTTTGGGTCGTAAATTTCACTGATGAGGTCAGAATTTTACTACAGGTTTAATGAAGCCCAAAAATGTCAATATGGCGGCCAAACGGCTGCCGTTGCGGGGTGAAATATTTTGGTGAGGCGCGTATCGTCGAGTGAGGTGTCCCTGCATGGGTTTTTCGGGTCGTAAATTCCACAAATGAGGTCCAAATACCCAAACAGGCCCATAAAAGTTCTCTAAGAACCAAAGTGGTGGCCAACATGGCTGCCGCTCAGATAGTGAGAACGGTAGAGAAGTTACCTTTCATACAATGATGAATTTTCGTGTATGTTTTGTACTCCGCTGATTCCGGATGCAGTCCTCTAGTACATCGGAGTGGTAGCGGTAGTGGTCTGTAGTACATCTAGGACATGCTCAAGAGCGTATTTCCTGATTTTTCCCAAGAAGATACTTTTCTCGATGAAAGGATAAAATACACTATTCTGAATACAAACCTTATTCGTTCGTTTTCCATCTGAAAAGTAGGGTGAATATTTTGTACATGTCCGGTAGGACAAATCATGTGTACTTTTAATTGATTAGAATATCTCACTGAGTCTACCTAATTTACTTCAACACTGTCCTTTAAAAACACCTCACGCATTCATGGTGCTGTTAAATCTATATGACCGAAATTTATTACAATTATTTTGTGGGGATGTAAAAATTAAATTCAGCCTCAGTGTTAGGC